AACATCCATATGGTACAGAGTCAAATTCTAGTCAACATATGTCTCTTATTTAAACAGGAATTCCAATCTTATCAGGAAGGCTAGATTACATAACTAGGAAAGGTTTTCCCTGTATTACAGTTTTAGAAATGAGTGGGTCTATATTGATGGATTTAGGCGGTTACAAAATACCAACTCATTCTTCTACTTAATAATACAAACTAGATAAAATTAGATCCACATATTTAATGTATATAACGATTTCTGTTGTTGGACGATGTGCTGTTTAGGTTTATATAGGTTTAACCATATATGTTTTTTCATTGATTTTGATAAATAGCATGGTGATCTAATAACTATTATAGTTATAATTTTTGTCCAACAAGAGCCCTAAACCCCCACCCCCTCACATGTTATTAGTATAAGCATTTAAATAGCTGACATCAGACAATCGCCTCCATGTTTACAATAATGTACGTTTACGCACATACTGTATCGTAAAGTGTGAAGCAGTTTTAATTTTTTTTTATTTTAAAATTCTCCACAGAGGTCTCCCTTTGAACATTGTAAATCCAATACTGTACCAGTGTTTGAGAGAAAGCTCATGCTCAGACAATGAAGTATCCCGCTTGATATACAAGAAACAATAACAGACATAATTATAATATGATATAATCTATAAAGAAAATACCCTTATATATAGCAATGTGTCACATAAGTTATCTCTTAATTTATAAAAAAGCTTAATATGCATAAATAATCTAGATCCCATCCCTGCATTTTTCATGCACAATTATGCACGTGCGGTGCATGCCCTATCAGAGAAACACATGTATTTAACCCGACAGTTACTGATGACGGACAGACTGACCCACCATTAACCCTCCCTCCCCTCCTAGTAATGGCACACAGACAATGTTAGTGGGTCGGATTATATTGAGAAATCAAACATTTCTGGGATTGAACTGTTCATAAATCCCCATTAACCTAGAACATCCTACACAGCCTTTGTGTGCCAGGCTCTGCTGTTTGCAGATTGTCTTTAAGCCTTTGTCATTGTTCCAATTCTATTTTCTTGAGTGTGTCTGTTTGCAGATTGCCTATACTCCTTTGCTGTGTTTTTGATTCATTTTTTTCTGGATGTAGTTGTGTGATGATTCTCTTTGACTTGAACATGTGTGTCTGTGTTGGAGGAGGCGGCGAACGGCCGTCAATTAGTATTGAATTTTAACATATCTGGTTTATGTGTCTATTAATGTCATCAAAGTATATGGTGATATGAATGTTTCGAACCGTTACGCCGATAGAGATACTATCTCTGCTGTGTGGCGTTCTGCTCTGAATAGAACTGATATTTATTCAAGATAGAGCGAAATTAGTGCAGGATGCATTTTAGTACAATTCAAATATGCATATTTCATTCATGTTTATATTCCATGCATCCTAGAATGCATATATGTATATGTATACAATCTTTCTATAACGTATTCCGTACAGATTTTGTGCAAAATACCTTTAGGATACACGAGTATGGCAATTTAAAATATATTTTTCATGTTGGCTTTTTTGGTTGCCTTTTGCGTTGACATTTTATTTAAATCTTATTGTTATTTAATCATACATACACACGTGATAACTGTGTATCCCTACAACTGTCATTAGGCCCGAAGTGCGATTTGCCCACACTATAAATGTTCGAGTGTAATTACAAAAGAGCAATAAGATATCAATTGAACATCACGAATAGCGTTTTATATCAAGGTGTCAAGGAGCCACGGTGTACTTCTTGTACAAAGTTGTTTTTGTTGTGTTTGATTTCACGTTAAAATCTTACTACATTTCATTTCATTATAATTTTCGTACTTAACGATAGTTTAGAATAACGGATTGTTTTCAAACTACGAAATCTCGAAATCCTCGTGAAATGTAACCGCTGTAAATGATATATCCTGGTTTATTTATACACACTTACCAACTAGCGTCGCACGACGATTGAAGCCGACACCGCCTACATGCCCTCGTGTTTCTGAAGGATCAGATCCCTTTGACTGGAATCACAAAGGAACAATCCGCATATAATTATGTAAATTGCAACACGATAGCATAAGATGTAGAAATACATCAGACAAGAAATAATCACTCTAAATAGTTGTGGGGTTTAAGCTAGCTATTCACCAACTACATAATTAGAATATACAACACTACACACGTACTTTAACGGACGTTTGCTAACACTTGATGTATGCTAGTGGAAATGGTCCTATATCAACAAAATTACTGTAGCGTTTGTTTTAATCCCAGTGGCATGCTATATCCTATTACACACATGTCATATACGTACTGCACTAGAATTAAGCGTTAAGGATTTGACCTAGAGAAAAGTTGAAGGTTCTATTGACTTACTATTCAAGCCTTACCTTATTTCAAAGAAGGGAATATAGGAAAATGTACAAAGAAAAAAGTATGTCCGTGCGCTCCTTTTTTCTGATGTAATATTTATTATTGTGAAAATATGCATCGTCGATACTCCATGGTTACACTCACTTACGCTCTCTGCACTGAGCGTAACTGAGCGTAACCCCTGGACTACCGAGGATGGACAGTATGATGAACAAGTCAATATAATATATTCAAAGCACGTTATCAGAAATCTATGAATGCTTGCATAATTATTACAAAATGATATTAAACTATTAAGGTAATTACACTCCTTATTCTCTAATTCTCATTTCACCATACTTTTGCTGATTTATACAGTGATACTGATGGCTAACTTTTCATAATATTCATTGGATTAAAAATAAATGCATAGCTCTTTCTAAAATATTAACTAGGCTATTATTTATCAAGGTTATTTCCTTTTTTTGTGAGGTCAAAGATAACAAAAATTTAGTTGACCGAAATATTTTAACTGTTTATAACTATTCTGTCATAGTATTGAACATATGAACCTTACACAGATAAAACAAAAACAACTTACTACTATGGCAAATGGCGATACAATGACGCTTTAAATGACCAATCTAGTGTCAAAAAAGGGATATTTGTGCATAGCAGAGAGTGCAAGGCATAAACATGTCTGGGATTTCAAAACGGCTACCAAACTAGTCATTTCTAACAGTTCCGCAATCAGTAGGTATCTAGGATGTTTAAATATCTATAAGGTTCTTGTTTACTTTTGAAAGATTATCATCATATATTAACTTCAACGAATATCTTTACACTATGTTCACGGTTGTTTTGAGAGATTTAAACCTCCTCGGAAGAGTAGATCATTAACATAATAAACAATCGATCTGTACTTACTGTATAGGTATATAACACCTGTCTACATACGATGGTATTCATGTTATGTTAAATCACAGGTGTGTGGATATATTTAAATATAGGAGACAATGTCAGACAAACAGACAATTTCTATTGATGTTTTAAATCCATATTATCATTAGATATGTAAATAGTACTCAGGAAAATCGATACTTGTATGAAAACACGGGAAAAAGGTCACGCGGAGTGTAAAAGAGGAGAAACGGAGACGGGTAAATTCCGGATTTTATTTACGGAGAAACTAAAGCCAGAACTGCATCAATTAGAGTAATTGTCCCGTGGTTGTACATGGGTTCCCTGTACTTTCCCACATTTTGTCGCCTGTCGCAGTTTCGCTTCGGTGATAAAAGTTATGAAAACCTCACACAGTGACAAACAAAGGCTGATCTACCTATCAACGAGACCAGATACCGCAACTATTTTAGACTTTAGCATTTAAACGCTACCGCGTCAGTGGGAAACTAACAACATTGAAACGAGGAAAGCAGATACATTACATACATATATGGTTTTTACGTTCCACGGGGGGGTCCACATCTGGTAGACCAGACTTTAACAGTAGACCTGGGAAACCTAAACGGTGTGTATCTCGCGATAATTATCTCACATACCCGCTCTACACTTTTACTACAACGTGAGTGAATTTGAGATTCTGAGATGTCAGATACAGCAACAACGTGATCTGGTTTTGAAGGCGAAAATATTAGAAATATTTTGTTTTCGTTATTGTTTGCTACTGAAGGATTTCCATACACTAAACGATAATAACAGACCCATATCCCTTTGTATTGTAAAACAAATTATGTATAGATACAGTTTTTAATTTGCTAATTAATTTGATATATACTACTCAGAAATGATCAGGGAAATATTTCGTTTGTTTGGGATGTAGCCATTAAAATCAGCGTGATGAATTATCAGCTACACAACACATAAAGACAGTATGGTGTCTCACACAACAGGGCAATGGTGAGGACGTTGAGAGAAGAGGAAAAACATACGGAAACAAAAACATCATTAAACTTTAGAAAAGCGGTAGTCGTAACCAGTCAGTCAAGGAGAAAGGAAACTGTTCAGCGTGATCAAGATTCAAACGTTGCAATGATTTATTTATATATGTGTCGACTGAAAAGCACGGAAGGAAAATAATATTACATGATAGAAGGTCCACATCCGTTATTACAAATACATTGTGAGGTAGAACACTGTTACTGGTATAGTTATTATCGTTAGCTTAAAAGTACTAAGAAATTATTACGAGACGAAACAAAATGTATCCTGCCTATATGACTAACTCATGTTGATAAGGGATTACGAAAACGGAAGCGCATTTTCCATAACAGCGGCAGGAATATGACATCAGACAGGTATATGGTTCCGAATCATTCTTCAGCAGTTATAGTATGCTAAACGACACTAATTAAAGTAGTAGATAATGTGAGTCGACTTGAGGGAGGAAGGAAGCGTCTAGACTGGTCTACCTAGCTACAGTAATACTATCACTACAACATGTCCACAATACTTCGTGCCTACTATACATCAGATGTGACTGTTAAACAGGAGAGAAAGATACAGTGGGTTTACCCGTGTGCTGAGTGTGTGTTTGACAGTGGTGAGTGACACAGCATACCTATGTATGAGAGAACTCACACCGACCCGAGCGTCAGTGATGCCTCTCATTCCGTATAGCCATTAGTACACACTACAGTGTAGAGTTCCTCGCGGTGCGACGGCTCATTGCACACAACGCCGACAGGGGGCGGTGCTGGATAGCGATAGTACACACACTGCCGTGAGTGCTCCAGCATTAGTCTTGTGTTTACAGCGGTGAAGTGTGGACGGCGGCGTACAGTGCTGTACTGTGATGAAGGATGTATCCGAACCCCACTATCTTTTCGTGGACCCGACTTCGTGGACATGATACACGGTACAAACAGGAACAATCATGGTTGATGCGAGCAGGGTGAAACGCTGGTTCGCCCTTTGCCAAGGAATCAAATGGACATTGCTCCTTTTTGGATTTGTCAATGTAGTTGCGACTTTTGGGTGTCCGGGTATTTGTTTCTGTCCATCAGTGTCTCGATATGTTCATTGTTCCAGGAAAAATCTACCTTTCATCCCTAGTGGTATTTCCAATGAAACGACTCATTTGTCGCTGAACTATAACAACTTCCAGAACCCGAACCTGAGCCGGAGTAATTTCACATACCTGACATCATTGGAACAACTGTTTCTCATTGACTGTGGAATAGAACATATAGAGGTGGATACTTTCATCGACCTAAAAAATCTTGAATGGGTAGATATAAGTAAGAATCGACTGAAGATCATTTACGATAATACATTCCAGGGGCTTCATTTAAACCATTTGTTCTTAAACGACAACCCCGGAATGGTACTTTCTACCAATGCTTTCATGGGACTAAAGGCAATGGGCTTGTACATAAACAACTGTGCCATAGCAGACATCAGGATAGAACATATAAAACCATTGAACGGCACCTTAAAAGCATTATGGATGGATGGAAATAAAATTGAATATTTTGATAAGGAATGGAAATATTTATTTAACACTCTGAGTCATGTGAGATTGGGAAACAACCCCTTACATTGTAACTGTGAAATTAAGTGGTTGTACAATTTCTACGTGTCGCATGATACAGTATTTGCAGGGGTGGATCCACCCTCCTGTCGTACCCCTCCCCGACTCAGGGGCAAACATTTAAACACTCTCACAGAACAAGATTTCAGATGCCAATTGCCAGTGTTTAAAACAGTGGACGTTATTTTTGTGGAGTCGTTGGGTAAGCTGACCTGTCTTGCTAGTGGTGATCCAGTCCCAACAATTATCTGGGTAAAGCCAGACAAAACGATAGAGGTTTATGCTCCTAAAGAGGTCACAGACGCACCCGCGGACAATGAGGGGGTTTTGTACTTAGAGGATCCAAAGGCAGAAGGAAACGTCAAATATCAGTGTATAGCTCAAAATGCTGCAGGTAACGTAACGTTTACTTTGAGTGTGCGTTGGCCACCTTCCTATTCCCAGGAGTTTGTGCAGGACCCAGGTATCGTAGAGGCGAAACCTACCCCGGCAATCCACACCCCACACAACAAACAAACCCACCCGCAACGGCCAGAGCCAAACGCTACCAAAGGAATAACTAAAAACAAACAACAGATAGTTATTAATGCGGGACAGTCCTCTGGGATTAGCCAGGTAGCTTCGAACGAACCGGAAACGGAAGTAATATTTTCAATTATTGACATCGTTGGTGCAGTGGTAGGGACATTTCTCTTGACGTTACTTGCTTGCATCGTCATATTTCATTTATTTCATCGTCATCAAGAGAGATTTTTCTATAGAGAACAAAATGGCGTGAATGAAAACCGAGTAAATAATAAACACCTTGTTACGGACGTGCGCAACGAGAACGTAAAAATGCTACAAAATACCCACTGCACTGTATGATTGGTGAAAATCAAAATTTGTCAGAGAGTTGTTAGACCGACTCGGATCTGACATGTGTGATATCTTTTTCTATCTTTTTTGTTAACTATAAACAAAACATTCGTTATTCTATGAGGGACTTTTATGACACATTGTTAAAATATAAGAGTTAAATGAGAGATCTGTCGTTTCTGGAGAGGTGAACAAAAAACAAAATCATTCACGGATATGTTTCCTCTTTTGAATTTCATCCTTTATATCACTTTAAAACATTACCATTTCCAGAGGTCGTGAAGAGCGTTAGATTGATCTGTATTTACCACATTGGTGTGCAACTACTGCCTATGTATTTGTCGTTTTAAACGACTACATCTGTGTTTGTAACGGATTGTGTAGAAAGGTATATTGGATAAAGATTATTTCAAGACATGATATTGTGTATGTGAGAGAAAAATCTCTCGTGATTCTGGAACCATCGCGGATTGCTAATATCGTTTTTCTATTTACCAGGATTATAAGAAAAACAAGAAACTCCGTCATTTTCTGTTTGTTTTATCCTCTTTTCCAGTGTTCGGGGGATAGTGTTAATATCACACTCGGTGTTAACGTTTGTGATGCTATTTTATCATTTTTACGAGGATCTTGAGTGTTTATCTTTGTGGACGTATGTGTCTCTTCCATGACATGTCGCCGTTAAAATGGTCTCTAGTCTATTGTCAGGGGCCATGTCAAAGGTCATTTCCTGTGAGATGTTGACAAGTGGACATAAAAGTGGTCAGTGTTGACATTTATATATTGTGTGATGGATGTTTCTTTCTCGAGATCCGACATTTGTAAGAATGTCCAAATCAAACCTGAACAATCTACACCATGAATTGAATGTTACAAAAATGGCTGCCGCATCGAATCCTAAAATGTAAGAAAGTGGGTCAACCGCTATGTATGTTTATATAAGTTGAAGAAAAACATTCAGAATATGATTTTATTATTTCACCATCCTACATATATATTTTTGTTGAAAAGATTATTTTTAATTGAAACAATGATCAATTTCAATTCGAACAATAGAAAAATGTATTATTATTTCAATCTTGTTTTATTGAGACGAACATTTCTGCTACGAAAATGCATTATCAAATTATGACATTTATTTAAAATCCATTTTCTGAATGTTTTCCTTCTCGGAATCAACTATGATGTAAATATGGTACACTCGAATGTAAAACTGATGTTAAGAATGATCCAGTTTTATGACGAACAAGAGAATTCTGTAATTTTGAGTAACATTTGCTTTGTTAAATTTGATGATTTTTTTTATTATTATTGACTCTGAAATATATTCATTTATTTTGTTTCAAATGCTCATTTCACATATTCACGTATACTTTAGCACAAAACAATATTTAATTCAAAACTATATCAACTTCATATTTTTAAAGCAATATCTGAAAAAGATATATATATATATATATATATTATATCTTGAAAGGCACTGATTATGAAATGCTGTGTATTAAATTATAAGTGCACAGTCACTACGATGAAAAGACGAGAGTGATTTAACTACAGCCGTCTGAGACACCCATTAGTAACACCATTTACACATCAACACGACCAGTTTCTGTGATAGCCTCTGTACAGACCACTTGTAACTGTATATATATGGAGATGTTAGACATTTAAGATAGGATCAAAGATGTTTAGTTATCTCCATGGCCTGATGATTCTGTAATATGTGACCATCTGCCTAAAGCTCTCGCATTCCCACACCTTACCGGTCCTAAGTACCCTCGATGTAGTTGTCCTGTGGTGACGATTTTTGATTTGTCAAGTGACAAGACATTGGCACTTTAAATATGTATGATGTTACATATACATATTTATCCCTGCGAGAAAACAGCGTTCCTCGACATGTTGACCTTGTCAGTTGTCCACAGGCTGTTTAACCTCTCGTCCTGACCGCTCACCTGTAGCATTATAAACTAAATTATCACGGCCATCGCTAAGTGGGTGTGAATTCTATGAATGACACTTCCATTTATGATGTAAATACTCGACATAAGTGTAATTTGTCGCCGTACTGCTAAACAGAAACAGTATCCTCCTGTGAGACGGGTAACATAATGCTACGTAATTTAACAGGCTGAACAGGAGTTTAAAACGTTTAATACTGACTCATTTAAGTCAAATTCTATGTGAAATTATTTTTATCTTCATGTAACTTTATACATTTTTCTTAAGTAGGTAATTCTCCAATGGACATAAATGCCACTCAAATACCTCTGTTGCTAATTCATTTTCCTAATAGTTTAAACAACATTATATTTGCAGTTTGGTTTTAAGATTCAGGGAAGTAATTTTATGGTCGTATGTTAAATATTTCATTGAAAATAAGCATATCAGTTTTCTATAAGAATGTCGGAACGATTTTTTAAACACGTTTAATAAATTTCACATAAGCACAATTTTATTTTTAAGAAAGCAAACAGTGCCAGATGCTAGTTGAAAATATATTTTTTGGATGCAAAAAAAAACAAATAAAAATACAATGTCTTCCGTTATTTACAAAGAAGACGATCTACTCTCCGTGTTAGTGGCATATTCCCGTGGTGTTTTAGAGGGGATCACAGGTAAAATCATAGGTCTGTGATGTATGGACGCTACCCCTCTAACACTCGACCTAAAGCCGGGTTATTTAACGCTGGCTTCCATCACAATAGCTATAGACGTGTGTTCACATAAATAGACGACGGAATTAGAATGTGAGGTAAACACACTGATGTTTAATTAACACGGGATATAGCGTCCCTGTGTAGTAGTATAATCTACTTACTGAGATCTACCGCGCGTCATTTTATATCAATCAGCCGATATGTTATTCATGTCGGCTACTTCATATAAAATGGCTTCCGTCCGGACTGCTGATAGAAGCCTCGGTGGCTGCCATGTTGTCCAAGAAGAAGCCTTATGTAAACACCGCGTTCACCTTACAGGAACTTTTGTTATTCTAAGCCAGCCGTAGGTTCAATATTCATGAACGGGTATTTTTATTAGAATTTCCCCTCAGCATCTTAATGGATTAAAGTAAAGACTAGAGTGTATCATATGCAATGTAGATGTACGATTGTGATGAAGCATAAGGCAAGAAACAGTCTAGCATATGTTTACTTTCGAATTAATATGAGTATCATCAATAACCAGTAACCTATTTAATGACTTAATGGTTTAAGAATAACATTGAGCAATGACGATTAACCTAACACCACACGAACCCACCTGGTGGATGTCCAGTTTGTTGACCTACCGATTCGTTAATTATTCATGACAGGTAATTTATCAGGAAATGGATTCTCAAGACAACTTGATCATATAACTGTTATACGAGGTCGTATACACATGATTACCAAGCATCGTCAACACGTCGATTCTGCTGTTAATTTGCCGCAGGTATATGACACCAGATTTAGCATGATTACATTGGAAAATCATCTTTCACTTTATCGTGCGAAAACACAAGTCAATTCGGAACAATCCGTTATCAAGATCGTATTTAAAGATACCGTCGTCGGAACTAATCGCCTTTGTGTTTGTGGCACACGACGCGCAATGGTGGTCTCATATATATCATATGGCGGTACAAAATGTCAAACCAGTCCGTGAAAGTTGCTTATCATCGAGCTATTTTGTTAAATCTCCGCCATTTTATGCTGGAAATTTGTCTTTGTCGTAAATCAATCGATTGGTGTTAAGAAGCCATTACCATTGTTGATGTCGAATTTCTGATTGAGATCGTGTCTGTATGTTTGGGCTGCGTAAATTCCACAACTAATTACATAGAAGGACAGATATTTTCGAAAATTATTTCTAACTAAACAAAAATTATAGATTAAATAGCATAAATTTGAATATTTGATCAATTACAGATTTTCGAAAATTATTTCTACCTAAATATGTTTTTATAGATTAAATAGCATACATTTTAATTTTTGATCAATTTAAAGTGACATTATTTATCCAATACAGGAATTTTGAAATATTTAGATGAAAGTTTATCTGCAATAATTTACAACATCGTTACGCATGCAGAACATACAACATAAGCAAATTAATTTGAATCCGTAAGCCAAATTTAACGAATCTCAATCTTCGATAAATAATACACTACCTGATATAAATTGAAACAGCACTGAACAAAATGTCAGGTAACAAAAGAGGAAACAGGAACACATTTTATAGAACAGACAATCCAATCCATGACAAACAATGATATGGTTAAAATAAATTATTATGCTTGATATTTTTACCCCATCTGTTATACTATCAGTTAATATACATAAACACAATCACAGAGTGTGTAACACCCACGGTACACACCCTCAACACACAAGAAGTAATGCAATATTGATTTACACACGGTTAAAGTCCAGGTTTTAATTTGAATCTATAATTATTTTTTTCATGATAGCTAAAGCATCGCGTTCGGGGCCTGATTTAATATTCAGAAGTAACAAATGTTGTTCGCTTGAGGGATCACATTTTAATGTCAAGAAAATAAGATATAATTGAATTTTGCGACGCATATTCATATTTCAGTGAACTTATAAATCAGTGAAGCATAAACCTGTAATTTGTCCTCTAGGAAGAATGCATCCATGTGTATTTGAGCTATTGGTGACATTCCTCGCACGAATCGATGGCTGAGTTATGTTCAGAAAATACATTTTCACAGACACGGCTACTTTGTACTAATGTTTTTATATTTTATCACCATAAGCTGGCAACAAACCTCAGCATTATGTGTTTATGGTTTACAGAAGAAAAGCTAAGTTATAACCCGGATTTGTTCATCCGTCAATATTTTGCCTGATACTTAGGAAGCTACTTAACACAAATCCCCAAGGTATACCGTAGGTGCTAAGTTTACCGAGGCGTACGGCGTGCTGGGTTTCCTCCATAAAAATTAACTTTATCGATTGAGCTAGCCCTTCGTGACTATGCTGTAAGTCATCTGATAGACAAGTAATCACACAGGATATAGTTTTACTGAAATGTCAGCTGGTCACATCCATAGACCTGCCAATCTAATGGACACCCAACACATCCACATACATGTACATTTCTTTTCATACCATGATGGTTAGTTCTCATATAAGTCATTATTCCATCATTAAAATTGAGTAACATACGTTTTTGTTTGGTACCACAAATCACTTGACTGTCGAGGACACAAATTGTTCGCGCTTTAATTCATGAAATGACGTTGAAATATCTATCGCATGGATACCGTGAAAATATATGTCCCTGACAAATGTAAGTGGTTAGCAGTATCAAACTATATTAAGTTCATTTCTATTCCTTATGATCACACTATTACATTTCACTGCTTCCACTCATTTTTAGCCAATCAGATTAGTTAGATTTTTCACTTCTTACCAGTGTTATTTACGGTTTGCCAGTTTGTTCATTTTGCCATCATCATGAATGACAGATTGAAACAGTTGCACCAATATTGTGTGGAAATTGAAAAAGAATATGCGTTTTAACTTGATATATCATATTTTCTAGTGAACGAGTTCCTACATATCAGTTTTTCAATAACAAAGATACAGTTTAAGATAAAAACTTAACACATCATGTCAAGTACGTTAACATTATCATTCTAAGCTTCAAAGCGAGTATCGTGAGATTACAAAAACATTAGGATGAATTCTCTATGATAGGGCCTTGCACCCGACAAAATCTGACTACAAAGATGGAAAATATGAAATTGAATCCTTAGCATTGATAGTAACATCACTAAGTGGCGGTAAATGTCAGGGTTGTCATCCAGTATAACAGCGGGGTGACACGTAGCTTTGTGTAACACGAGTGTGTGAATGTTGTATAGTGTGTGTGTTAGGGAGAAGAGTGAAAGTGTGAGAACGTGCATCATCGACTGTGAGAGGTTTAAACTTTTATTAAACAATATAAATATATATACAGTTGTAATTTATTTTTGTGTTTATACCAATATCATGTGAAATTGAAACATTACAAAAGATGAGTTGCGAACACTAAAGTGAATAAAATATGAAAAAAAACATCAAGCTTTTTGTCATTTTATTCGTAATAACAAAATATTTCATTATTCATAATTGTTTTTGTTTTTTTGCTATGATAGGTTTTTCACAGTTACTAATTCACAAATGAATGGCCAATCGTTACGTGTATCAAATATTTCTATTGTATTATGGACGTAATCAGTACTGTAGTTTGTAATGAGCTAACGATGCCCTCCTCCCCCCCCCCCCCCCCTTTCTTTGTGTGTGGCGGTACATGTGTACACGATATACATCAGTGTGTATACTATTACAATTATTTTTCGCTATGACTTCTAACATATTTGTATGACATAAGATACCGAGTAATATCCCTTCTATGTCGCTCGGTGATTGCACTTGTATTCATAACTGTACTCTCCAACTCGTAGTGCATTATTGTGAGGTATACTTTTATAGACACGTGCATGTTTTGCCAATTATTAACCTTGAATTGCTGTAAGTTATAGCTATCTCATTTTTAGTTTCTTAAATTCGTGGTCAAAATAATAAGCACGAAGTGGAATACCAAGCTTATAGTGTAACGGGAACGATACCAATTAGACATCTGCCACGAACATCAATTAAGAATATACCAATGCGAATGAGTTTAACTGATGAACTTATCAAAGAAAATATTAATTTTACATTCACCATTTCCCGAAAAACAGATGCAAATTGGGGGAAAAGTATTCAACTCAACAATATCGCCAATACCTTATGACATCCATTCCTCTTGAGCAAAATATAATAGTTACTCAAAATATTAACGAAAGTAAGAAAATATACAATATTTTAATAACCATAATGTAATAAACATTAACATATAAGCATATAAATATTTTCAAAAGAACTGAATACACTGTTTTCCCTATTATTTAAATAAAATAATTCAGTCATATGTCCTGTATATTCCCTTTTATATCAATGAAGCGACAATTGTTATGTCCTCAATTAATAATGATATATTTCCTGTTATATTATTTTTATTTATATACTGCTAACAAGATCTCCTTTATTTTATTCAATGGAACCATAACACCTCCCAGGTGTTTTTAAATTTATACACCTGCTTTTTTGTCTGAGTAACATTTGTAATACACAGTTCAAACCATATATTATGTATGCATTCATCATTCACCGAGTCTTTGTCAGATACGATCAAATGAAAATGTAGGCGGTGTATGTTTGATATAACAATAAACAATAGATAGGTCTGACAGGTCTAACGATGTCTGCATTTATGGAGGAAAAAATACAATCGGAAATGGTACTGTTTGTGGAATGGATCAAATATACAGACATGTCTGGCTATATTTTTATGCCTAAATATGGTTATGATTGACGGACGGCTCCGAAGTAGCACGCACCTTTAGAGAGTTGCTTCTTCATAATTCCATCTGTTTCTTGGAAAGTGTTCAAACAGTCGATAACGCTTACAGCCGATACCAGCTGACGGGGCGTTTGCCTAGCGTCACTGTCCCCTTGGAGACGTCATCTTCTGACCACTGCTCAGCTCGTGCCAAAATTATCCACAGTTTTAACCAAGCATGGACCAGACATGGTGATTACAGCAATAGAATTCGAGATATATACAAACATGAATTGAAATAATAGATGGATGACACTCTAGCGATTCTAGCCTTCCAGTCTTGTCCGACCAATTGCCAGACCTTACATGTCACGTCACGCGATGGGGATCTGTTTCATATCAGAACGAATTAAAACTACGAATACCTAATCAACTGATGATGTCGTAAAAGGACCCCTGTATGTACACTTTGCACATTCATATATTGAAAACAAATTGCTATAAAACTCCAACGGTAAAATACGTGGATGCAAGGATATGTAAACAGGAATCAGACTACTGATGTATGGATAGTGTTTGCCCAGTAAGTCTGCATACACAACAACAATGAAAACCGTCACAGAAGACATGTATTAATGTACACCGCCCGGATGTGACGCCAAATTTTAATGGAATAGAACATAAAGGTAAATCCCCAAAAAGAAATATATCCATGTAAAAGATTGATCTGATAAAAACATGACAACTATTTTAGCAAAAAAATGTACAACAGATAAGAAATGACAAACATGAAGATCGACTTCAGATAGAGATGACATTTATGTGTAAATCTGTATACATAATTTACGTACCCTGTGTTGGTAATGCTGGAATGTTTTTGAATTAATGAAATTGACATTACTATGTCTGACCGACCTTACTTTAAGTGGACCACGGCGGGAATCAGTCAAACGGAATAGCAGGCTTGAGCTACCTTCACGCCGGAGATGCTTCCCTCCCTATAGGCAATTTTCTGTGTATATATGTGTATCATACGCCGATATTGATTGGAAATCACTTTTTAACTACCGTATTTTACATTAATGTATGAAATGTGACACATAGATATAATAAATCAAATGATAAGTTTTTATTTCATATAAAATCAAATGAATCTGTGACAGTACTTCAATTTAAGAACTTCAGTGAAAAAAACAATGGAAATCCCTATACCAGTCACCATTGATAATAAACTGTGGTTAAGTTCACTAATTCCTATATTGTCATAGGGACCGTATGATGAATTGGTCAGTTTACCCGAGGTGAAGGGTGAGTAGTTGAATGTTATACAGAGGGCAGTAAAATGTCGGACTTGGATTGAAGTGTAATGATTCCTAAGTGGCACTTCAGTCGCACACATATGACCCCACACCATAAGACCTAAATACACCAATAACAGTCGTACTTATATGATCCCACACCTTTATGATTAAATATACCAATAACAGTCGTACATATATGACCCCACACATTAAGGACTAAAAACACGAATAACCTACGATACGTCTGAGATTAATTTATGTTGAAATTTGATTAATCTACATTACATTTGACACAATAAAGTGTATTCCTGCTGACGGTGTAGATACCCCCGTACATTGGGAGTATTGACACTAATACTGCAGTGTACCTAAGCACCTGCCTTTCACCTCTCCACATACATATTAATCATCAATCGAACTCTCCCATCCTCTAGCAACATTAACAAACAGCTGACAGAATACACATCTCTATCACGGAAAATTACTCTGTGGGTCAGTCAACATGTTACGTACACAACTCCCTGTTGCAACTAAAATCCACAAAATTCTACTGTTATGCTTTTTCCGCATGGGTGAACAGAGACCAAGTCTGCGCCGGCTTATCTCCATTATCAGCAGATGGTATAACAATATATACAGTGTTTATTTAAATTGCAGCAAATTAATCACGCTCCATTTGTAATGCAGTCATCAAAACCGTTTGTGATGTTTACATTTGTGCTTTTTCAACTCCCCACAAACCCCCAGTGTTAATAGATATATCTGCGTGGAGGTCCTTTGAGATTGGGCTCTGAAGCTTCCTCGATATACATTTTCAGCCGTAAAACTTAATTCAGTATGTATATATACACGCATTTCATCGTAATTCCATCTGTTGTCGATATCAGTCCGGGGAACACGTGCTCATCATTACATAAAAAACTGATAACATGCCGCTTGTAGTTGCAAAGTGCTTCGGTGAAGTAACAATATTCTCCAACCTATAAGAAATGCTTTATGTACTTCTCTCGTAGCCACAGCCTACGATAACGTGTTCCTAATAAATCTGGGTCAATTTATGGGATACTCTTTAACCGAGGGCTCAATGTTTGCTGTGGTTGGAGAAATGCATTCCAAAAAGAACAAACTATTACCATACCAGCGAGGTTGTTTATATACCAAACTAGAGTTTACATCCCCAAGGTATCTATATCACTGGGGTAACGTACCTCCAGCACAGCGTCAGAGATAGTCACGCCTAATTAATTACCTAAATACAATTCATAATCGTTATATCACGTATACATGTAAGTGTGTAGATATCAAATTCTCAATTAGCTGTTAGATAGCTTTTTTAAAAATGTAAAAAAAAAAAAAAAATTTAAAGTAATACAATAAAATAAAAAATAAAGGGTTATTCTCTAGTTGTAATCTACATCAATAGATATATACAAAAAAATAACAACTTTTTTGAAAGATTTAGGATATATTTAAAACGTGTCTGATCTACATTAGAAAACGATATCTAATACAACACTATCATCACAACATGGTCAATTAAATTTTAACAAAATACTGCAATGTTTATATCATTTGATTTGATAGTGAATGTTTATCGTCAGATCATATAATATTGTATTTAAATGTTGTTATCTGCTATATGTATATTCATGTCTTAACATGTGATCGAAAACAATCAAGTAATATATTGATATCTAAAAAGCTGATCCAATTATCCCGACATCGTCAGTGACCAAACATCAAAAATAGGAAAACATGAATTTGAACCTTAGAACAGACTGTCATGAACTAAAGGTATTTTCAGTGGAAATAGAAAGATATACTATGTTTAACCAATAAAATAATACATGCATGTGCTATTCCGATCTGAAACTGAAGTATAATTAACATAAATAAAAAAGCATCGCAAAACGTAAACCGCCTTGTTTACCCTACTGTCAGACGATTAACGACTAAAGTGTTACGACTTTCATTTACGTCAAGCGTTCCTGATGCACGGCAGTATGCTATGACTTACTGGTGACGTCGGAGCTCATTTACCGTCAGATCATCCCCTCTCCGGAGCTACAGTGTACATATCACAACCTCAGTAATTGATCAACCTGTCATAATTATCGCACATTTTAATTTCTCATATTTCTTATAACGACATTTTCCCTCTGTTATTCTGTATTAAATGTGATCGCTCTCAGTAAAACACAGTAAATGGCTCTTTGAGCCGTTTCCGTTGTCTGTTTTCCCTCCAGTTTTTTTCCCTATATTTGATGTATGAGAACAAACTGCAAGGCGACCTGAAGTCTCGGGGCGCTTACAAATACGTCTAAGCTATTTATTGCAAATGAATCATACCGATAATGTTGTGTGTTGTATGTTGTCACGTCTTGGGAATC